ACTGAAGTCTGTTTATACCCTTTGAAAAACCTGAGCAAGCCCTTCCATCTTTTGTGCATGATCATAAAGATATGCAAGAAATCTCATCCACTATATATGCAAATAGGTGGGTGAAGCTGGCATTTAAACTACTGTAAATTACATAACAGCTACTAATGTTAAGAAATGATGAAAAATTGATGAATGAAGAGCTATGAATTAACATTTAGAAATTCAATAAGCTAGGTGTTCTATGTGAATGAGTATGAAAGGTGAGGGGAAGATATTTTTAAAAGCTATTATTATATGTCAGCAGAGCATGTGTCAGTGAAGAAATTATTCTGAGAATGCCTTAGTATCACAGTTACAGTAATTTGCCTTTAGGTATGTAGTAAACGCCAGAGTTTTTTTCATTGGGAAAGTTTTCAAAGCTTCCTTTTGCCTGTTTCCAGACAGATTACCTGAAGAGAAGGGAAGGGGGATCCTGGCTCACTTGAATTATCTTAGGAACCACTGTGATTCCTGAAGCCCTTTAGGAAAAAAGTTCAGAACAAAGGCTGCAGTGTACCACCCTGTCAGTTTTGCAGTGAGGTAATCATGGATAGCTGTACTGGAAAAGCACATACATTAAGAAGTTAAGAGAATAAAAATGGTTCCTGAAGGTAAGAGTTAAGTAGATTTATTAAACCACAGGCTACCATAAAAAGAAACAGCCTAAAAGAGGGAATTTATATCTACCAAACCCATCTCTGTTGTGATCACTTCTTGCTTTGTCCTGGAGGATGTGCCCACTGGCAGAAGTATTTCAGTAAAACAGAAGTTTGCTGCCAGAGGGATCATGTTACTGCAGTGGTAAAACCAAAGAGCCTCTCAACCTACGGTCACTAATTTAAATTCCAAGTAATACTGCATGTGTCATACCAGCACGAGGTTGTCTAGGGACTTAAGCAGCCTGACCTCCATGCTACGAGGCATATCACTGCAGCTGAAATGGAGGCAGGGACTGAGTGGGCAGGTAGCTGTTTATTCAAAGGTATGGTAGATGTAAATCATGGCCAGAGGAGCATACCCTGTCATTGCTTGATTTTTAAAAATGCGGAAGAAGGATGCTTGAGTGTCTATAGTGCAGTCCACTGCAGCAATGGGATGACTGTGGGGCACCTCTTCCATCTAAATATCCGGACAGGATTTTTCTAGTTGGCATTTGCAGACTGTCTTGACCTCTTCTGGGAGCCATGGAAGTTTAGAGTCAGGGTTATCTCCTCAGTGGTACATTTCTGTAACATAGATGAATCCATCCTTCTTCTTAATTTAGTTGGTACAAATTGTATTTGTTAGCAGAGGTGAGTCTTCACTCTTGGGTGGCCATGTCCGAGGTTCTCTTATTTCTCATGTATTGAAATAGATTGGAGCAGAAGGGATGAACAAACCGTGCAGTTACAGAGTCTGTGCAGCTTCATTGACTAAGCCATGTTTACTATCTGCCACAGGAGATATCAAAGCATCAGTCTCTGAAAGTTCACTTGAACAGGATAGTCGACATAGACCTTCTCCCTTTCCTCCACTCAACTGCAATGATGACAAAGTTTAAATGCTGCTGAGGGAGACCACCTGGCCGACGGACAGACAAACTCCAGCTGTTCATATGCAATGGCAAAACCAACAAAAATATATCTCTAAATGAAAAAACGGTAAAAGTAGAATAATTCAGAGACAGTATGGTCTAGCCAGAAGCAAAGGTCTGAGAAATAGTTGGGAGACTTTTAAGGAAAGGCCACCTTTCTACCACAACAGTCAATGATGCTACTGAAAGGCATTTGTTGAATGATGTTATCCTTTATATTGCTCAGGAGTGTTTTCTATCTCTAGATAAGTTGTTCATTCATTAATATCTGCAAGTCTTTCTTCTGGATTATTGAGCCTATCTTTCTTGCAAATGACCAACAGCTGCACAGAGAAAAGACATGATAATGTTCTGTTAAAACACACTGTGTAAATCTAGTGACGGCTTGGGGATTTTATTGGGAAGTTGTCTGATTTCTGACTGAGTTTATGAACTTGGTGTGAGCAGACCTGTCATGAGTATTTTCCCTTCTGGAACACTGGATTTCTCCTGTTCCCTCCACTAGTTTGCCAAGACTCTTAAATCCTTAGAACATGAGAGGAAAGCCAACATGCAGGGCAAAGGCAGTTATTTGACGCCCCAGTTACACACTTCCTTCTTCTAGGCAGGCCTCAACCATGGTTTATTGCTTATAAACAATAAGCAGGACACAGGATACATGCTAGACACGAGTTTTGTCATCTCAAAAACCCAGTGAAGTCTGTGAAAAGGAGTCCTTATGAAATATCCTCTCAGTTTCAGCTATTATCTTTGGCTGTAGCAATGACTCACTTGCTCTAAACCAAAACCCAATAGTGTCAAGCATAGCTATTCTCTTTCAAACTAAAAGCAGAACGCTGGCATGATCATTGCAGCTGCTTGCTTCCATTAAAGGCAAAAAAACTGTCATAAATGGCAAGTGTACCATCGTCCTGTGTTGTCAGTACCTAATTTGTCATATTTCATTTGAAACATTTTTGAAGTAGGCTGATTGTCAGTGCCACCTTACGGTTTCTAGAGACTATTTCCAATACCAGTCTTCAGGTTCTCAGGGTTGGCTGTGATTTGATAACATATTTAGAAATGTGACTTTTCTTGTCTATGCTAAGCAAACAGTCCTTTTCAAAATCATTTTGGCAAGTCCATTCTAAAACACAACCTTCTTTCCTAGTTTATCAATGGCCATTCATGAGGAGAGGAGCAGCAGAAGGGAAATAGAGCTATAGCTACCACTCTGGGGTGGCTAGTGAGATGCACAGGAGCAACACTATGGCTCTTTCAGCTCCTCCTCAGAAAGGGACCTGTATAACAGTAATTCCCTAAAGTTTAGGATTTTTCTGTGGTAAG